AAATGTTAGAAAGGATTTGAAAAGGAAGTCTTCTTTTGGAAAGGTTGTTTTTTGAAAAGGGAATATATATATATATATATATATGTTAAAGTGAACCAGATTTCGTGAGTCCGGGGCTAGCTTGACCTAGAGGGAGCTCGACCCGATGTAGGGCGTGAAAAAGTTGATACTAGGCCCTTTAATGATTGCCGGATTTGGAACAGGGGATAGCTATCAATCTCGTCTCGGTAAAGTCGGTTAGCAGGTTTTCGAAAGTGAAAATTGGGTCGGTATAGGCCAAATTTGGGATGAGTGCATCATATTTCATATCATGCACATCATTTTGTAGAATTGTATAATGTTTTGGGATTGTTGCCTATTAAGTTGTAAATGTTGTAAGGACTCCCATTGCAGGACCCAGGTTTCTTTTCTATCCCCTTATATGTTACGCGGCTCAAGGGAGTCCAAAACTAACACATTCGGTGACTTCTACTGAGCTTTATGCTCACCCCTTATTTTTAACATTTTCGGGACACGGGAAAAAGTGGCGGATGACTTTCCACCACATGCTTAGTTTGGATTGGATAATCATTTTGCTAATTTGTATCTATGTTCCATTAATCTGTTAAGTCCCTATTTGTTGTTATTGGTGATGAGACTAATGGACTGTATTTTTGCTTCGTGGATTATAAACTTTTGTAATTAAGGTATAATTCATGTAAATGACTTTGGGACTATGTAAAGAATATGTAAACTTTATATTTTTGAATGAATGGAATGTGATATATTGTTTCACATGTATTAGGACAGGATTTATTCAGTTTAAGGTCCAATAGGAGGCCTTTGTTTACTCTCATATTCATAGCAGTTCAGTAATAAAGTTTCAGCTCACAAGATCATTTCGGACGACCGGAATGGGCATTCCAGTCGATCGATTGCATTGCAACCAAATTCCAGTAGCCATGCCATTTTCAGGATTACAATAGGTAGACCAGCTGATCCACTTCGGATGACGGGACTGTTGGTTCATCTTTGTTCCTTTTCCATTTCTTCTAAAGTCACTCCTATGCTATGTAATGGTGCTTCAGCAAATCTAATAAGTTGTATTAGCACGTTGAAGGTGTCTTGATATTGGAAATGATGATGGTACCCTTAGGTAACCTCGGTTTCGGGGTAAGGACCCGGTTAACGATTTAGACCTACAGGTTTGGGTTGTTACAAGATTGGGTCGCCAAAATGAGCCCAAAGTGCTAGAAAGGTCCGCGTTGGCGATGCTTTTATATACCCTAAAAGCTACTCCATCATATCCAAAAGGCGTGTCAGCTGAAGAAGAAGCATCCCTGGTATAGTTAATCTCTATGCAATCGGGAGGAACCCATCTTAGATCCGCTGGTCAACAAAGAGAGAGCACAGTATAAACCACAGTGGCCCTTGGAAGGTTTGCTAGCTCTGTCGCCATGTTTTCTGAAGGAGACATTGAACACCCATTTGGGTTTAAATCCACTAGTCGCCCATCCAAAGACTCATCCATTGATGGGCCTTCAGTCCATTAAGCATATTACTTCCAATATGCTGACCAATAGAAAGAAAAGAAACATCATGGCTTGCATGAACCCAAGAAGCAACCTGAGGATTTCTTGAATAGGGACTTAGAAATCAAAATAAAAAGAGGCCCACGGAAGCCCAAGTTTGGATGCTGGTCTATAATTTCCTTCGAGTAGTCCCCTACACAGTATTTCTTGGGCAGACTATTCCTGTCACATAAAACAAACAACAGAAGCTTCGACCCAAAGATATACTGACATAGAAAATCATGCTTATCAGAGTCGTAAGATGTACAACTTCATAATCTCAACCACAAGTAGTATGGGAGCATCATAATGCACACGTAACCAATAGTACAACAAAGAACGCATCAGGATACAAAGATGATTTGTTGAAGGACCCATGTTGAGTACCGTTGACATCACAAACTATCGCATCCCAATGCAAAGCTTCCGCTATACACCATTGACGCACTGACAATCCACCGGCCACTAGACGTTCCGAAAACGATAGAGAATCAAACTTCAAATAAGTATAACATTTGGAACGTCGATCAGTGATCATCAATGATGACCCATAAGAAGTTGGCTACGAGAAAAACAGATCAAGAAAATTAGACCCAAGCTTTGACCAAAATTGAAGCCATCCTGGTTAGAAGGGCACTCCACATAACACTCGTGAAACATAGATCATGCCATATTAAGATTACCTTAGAGGACTCCATCAAAACCCAGACCAACCACCTGGATCAAAGGATTAAAATCACCAAAACACTGTAATTGATAGCAGACATCACCATGAGTAACCGCCATAGAGGTATGGGACCAGAAATTCCCGATCCAATCTGGAAAAACCCAGATCTCATTAGAAAACTAGTCCATGAACAACCCATCTCGACCATTGCAAGAAAAGCTATGGAAATCTAGAGCCTCTACACAGTGAGGGAACCAGTAAGTCGAATACTCAACCCCAAGGATAGGAAGGAAAGGTATAAGATGGATTAAGTGTTGAAAAAATATATGCTTCAAATGATATTTAAGACATAACTAACTTTATACTAATATGTCATGAAATAATTAATAATATGCTAAAAAATAATTAATTAAATATGCAACTTGATATTTAATTAAACATGCAAATTAAAGCAATAAAATAATAACAATAAATAAAGAACCTAGACCGAGGCTAGTATTGGATAATATGTCCTTAAGACAATTTACGCCCTGCATGGTGCTGATGAACTCTGTAGCGCTTATCTTCCAGGATACAACGGTCTACATACACAAGTAATAGCACTACAAACTCGTGGGTACGGCGAACTTGCTCTGTGTAATACTCACTCGAACTTAAAAATTCATCTATACTATATAAATGCTGAATTGGGTGCAATCCGAACCAAATGACTCGGACCAATTTTGATATAGCTCGATGAAATTAAATTAGCGTTTAAATGACTCGAACCACTTGACCATGGCTTGAACCCACTTAGGTTGGGTTCAAGTCTAAAGAGGGAGAGAAGAAATCAAAGAATTGAACGAATTGCAAATAGCAGCCCAATGAGGTATTTATAGAAATAGAAATGCCTTTTCAGATTGGGTGTGTCTCTTCATAACTAGACACAACCATTAATATGTGTCTCTTTATCACTAGCCACAACCATTTATATGTGTCTCTACACAACCATTTATATGTGTCTGTTTATCACCAAACACACCAACTGCAATAGGTTGCAATTGTTTACATTGAATAGATTATGTCTATTAGTTTTGAGTTGCATATATTCATCCCACAACTAACCAGTGATCACACATGTTCAGTCCAAGACATCTATTGATGACTGATGAAGCAATTTTCACTCACAAATTCTAACATTGAGAGAATAAAGGAGGAGGAAAAAAAAGGGCGAAGACTTGCCATCCTTCTTTCTTAGAGACCCTTTTATTTACAAAGCCACCCGTGCGGGTTCAAAACTCCCTCTCTCTCTCTAGATGGGATGTTTGTATTTATGTTTTGGGAGACTGAAAGTGAGTGAATTAGGAGTAGTGCGCCTTGTATGCCACGTTATTTCCAATAACAATGCATCATTTCAAAAAAAAAAAGTTAGTTCACCTACTTATAAAATTGCTAAAACCAGATAATATTATTTGATTGGGTAAGTATACTAATGACATGACGGCACACCCAATTAATTGTGAATTGGAGAGGATAATGCGATTGATGTCACGTGATTGGTATTGTGTGGTTGGTTTGGCTTGCCTACAAAAGATGTGAAATCAGTAAACTTTTAAATGGATTAGACTTTGCTTTGACCACCTAATTATGGATTTGGAAAATGATACTTAGGCCTATTTGATAGGCCTACTTGTTAAAGTGAATTAATTTAGGCTATTAGTCGCTTGAAGTGGGACCTAAAACAAGGTCTCACTTCAGGCCATCAATAAGCTTAATTGTTTCACTTTGATAAATAAACTTAATAAGTTGGGCTGAATATAATTAATTCACATGTAAGGAATTAAGTCTCAAGCATTCCATCACTTATCTTATATCCAAGACCATGTTTAGTTAATGTTTAATTTTTGTTTGAACTTGACTAGAAGAGTTGATTATTATTATTATTATTATTATTATTATTTTGGATAATTTTCTGAAAACAAGAGAGGATCTTGAACCTGATCTATAAGATCCAAATGGATTTTTAGTTTTAATGGATTTTATTATTATTATTATTATTATGATTATTATTATTATTAAGAGCATGAAATCTTTTTCTTAATAGTTGGATCAGGGATTTATTAAAAGATATAAACTTTTCAAACTTTAATAATATATTAAATCCAGTCGTTAGTTAATAAACATTACTCATGGGACAGTGCTCTAATAGTGAGATAGCTCTTTTGATGGACTTCTCTAGTATAATTTGAGTAATGCAATTAAAAGAACTCCATCAAGAGACGTGATTAAAAGAGCTCTAATCCCATTGACCGTTAGTTTAAAACTTTAAATGTTTGAGCAATACTTCTAAGAGAGGAGAGCTCCCTCACGAGTAGAGCCGTAAGCTATATTCATATTTAACTGAATTGAGACAGTTATTTGAGATATGTGAAAGAACATATACGAGCTCGGTTCCTCGTGCTGCAATATAACACAGATGTTCGAGATGTGAAAGAACACATACGAGCTCGGTTCCTCGTGCTACAATATAACAAAAATGTTGAACCGCATCAGACAGCTCCCACCCAACACTCACACTGTACAGATCAAAACACTCTTCAATACATAGTCAAGAAGCAGATCCAACTATGCCCAACACAACATTATAACTCACTAATCAAAATGCCGTAACAAGGAGTGTAACTTAGTGTCTTCACCTTCGAAAATAGGACTATGGTTCAAATTCCCATAAGAGCACAAGGTATGAAATAGAATGATCGGACAAATTAGCCAAAAACACTCTTGACGCAGAGCACAACAATACAAAATTGAAAGTTCCAACTGAAATAACTAATATGAAGCTGCCACATTGAGTTCCTCTGTAAATTGAAAAGAAAATGACTGACAAATAACTGGATAAATTCAATTTTCTGATATCTACAATTCCCCAATCCTACATGAAAGAACTTCTGTAATTGCCAAAGCTCTAATTTAGTGAATAATATACAAAAAACTGCTTCTAGATCACCAGTCCAAGGATATTTTCCAGAACAAAGTAGCCTCACATCTTCACAAAGTGTCAACAATAAAGTTGAGATGGCTGCAACTCCCTATGGCTGCAAGTCACCTGATAGAGCATCCACGAAGATATGTGGAACATTTACTGAATCGAGCCACTTTAATAGAAACCCATATCATAATAGAAGCGGTATTTCACTTTTGACAAGTTATCACAATAAATGGATCTTTGTCGCGCACACTGTTTGATAGAGCTGGGAGCATTTGCAGAAGGCCTAGGATGATACATACTGAGACCCAAGTGAGGTGGGGATGGACTAGGATGGGCCTCAAGAGGAGGAGGAGACTGACGTGGAACCACTGTTAAGTCGGGAGTTTCATGCTGAGATTGTTGGCCAGCTGCACGGGATAAATGAAGCTGGAGAAGGCAATCATACAAGAGTAAAGTATTACTATCTATCTGAGATAATGAGTGGTACCATGATGAGTTGGAAAGGGAAAGGAATAAATGCAGAAAGAAACTCTTACTTGTTCCCAGGCTTTCCATTTATGGCAGGTGCTTTTGGAGATACTGGCACCTGATCAAGTTTATGACTAGAATGCTCTTGTGGAGTATGTGCTCTATCCTGTTGAAATTATGTGTTATAGTTCAAATTCACTATAATTTAGCGGGGGGAGAGAGAGAGAGAGAAATCCATGCAGTACATCAAGACTATGACTTACAGTCAATTTCATCCCACTAAGAGCCCGGGTGAAAGATGGAATATCAAGCACCTGTGAATTTTTTATGAATCGATGTTCTAGTAGCATGCTAGCTGAAGGCCTCTCTGCCGGATTCCTACAAAAACAACAACGTAAAAAATCTTTGCCCTCACATGACAATGTTTGAGGTATGGTTGGGGTTTCTCTTGTAACCTTGAACATGGCTGCAGCCTGCATTATAGAAGGAAATGTAACCAGTTTAGCAGATAAACAGAGGAAATTAATATGGTAATAAATGAGTCCAACCAGATTCAACCTTGACCAAATTAAGCTCCGCCAGAGCTGCAAATAAACCTTATTAAATGCAAAAGCAAAAAGTTGGGTATAAATTATGATGCACTGAATCCACACAACAGATAGCATCATGTGGCAAAAGAAAGATTTGTTGGCAAGCAGCCAAACTTCAAGTCGTACTTGCAGACAGACTACATGGCATGTCACCATATCCAGTGAAACTCAAATAGGCCACACATGAATTGCTGCATAAGTTTGTGCTAGTGCTTTATTGGGTCTTTGGTGAAAGTGAATCCCAGTGGGAGAAACCCTGTCAGGCTATTACTGTTGCGCATGAAGCGTGATAGAAGAGAGGAGTGGGGAATATACCTTAAATGATGAGAAATAATTCTAAACCAGTTCAAAGTGATGGACAATGACTTTTTCCAGACTAGTCACTTTCCAAGAAATCAACAAAATGTACCAGCCATATCCATATAGTTGAATGCAAATTCTACAATAATATCATTAACTAATTGTGATCCTTTCAACAAGGCTCTTTGGGGAAGTGGCCTTGGAGGTTTGGAGTTGACAGGGATAGGCTTTGGAGGAGAGCTATCTCTCAGAGATTTGGAGAGGAGCAGGGTGCGCAGTGCTGTCTTGAGGTGAGGATTCCAGGTGGGGTGGGTGTTTGGAATTCATAAGGAAAGTGTGGGATGAATTCTCTAAACACATCAGGTTCAGGGCTCGAGGAGGATCTTTTATCCGGTTCTGGGAGGACAGATTATGTGGGTACCATGCGTTGGCGTGTGTTTTCCCCAGACTCTTCAGGATTGCCATGGATAGGCATGCTTTGGTTGCCGACTGCTATCACTTTGATGGTGGGAGGACGACTCGGGATGTGCGTTTTGTGAGATAACGTTCTTAATTTTTGGCATTGTTGTACTGCTAGGAGGTGACTGCAGGTGAGGCAGATTCCTTGGTTTGGACCCTTTCTTCTCCAGGGAGGTTCGATGTTTGCTCCTTTTATGGGAGGCTTTCTGATGATCCAAGGGCTGCATTCCCCTGGAAGGCGGTGTGGTGCACCAAGGTCCCCCTTTAGGTGGCATTCTTTTGCTGGATGGTTGTTTTGGGGAAGATTCTGACTCTTGACAATTTGAGGAGGAGACAGGTTGTGGTCAACTGGTGCTGTATGTGCAAGAGGAACGAGAAGATGGTTGATCATCTTTTGTTGCATTGCCCGGTTGCTAGGGACAGTTGGGGCTTGCTCTTGTCTTTGTTTGGGGTTTCTTGGGTCATGCATTGAACCTCTTTTGGCTTGATTGAGGCTTGGAGATGATTTATAAAGGGATCCCAAGCCCGTGACTCTTGGAGGCATAGTTGTTAAAGGCTCAAGGCGCACAAAAGCGCAAAGGCCTCCAGGAGCCTGAGGCGCAAGGCGAGGCGCGCGCCTGACTGAAGCAAGGCGCACGTTGAAAAAAAAAAAAAAAACACTCACCCAATAAAGATTCAATAGTATATATAAAGATGCAAAAGTTAACTAAATCAATTACTTAAGTTCAATATTCAACATAAAGATGCCACAGCGAACTAAATCAAGTACAATAAAAATGAAATGTTGAATAAAAAAAATTGAGATTGAATATTACTCTCACTTTTGATTTCAAGCATTGTTGCAAAGTAAAATTAAGTAGTCTACTACTCTATTGTGAAACTTCCTAAACTTTCAAATACACACAGTCAAACTTTAAATTTTAAAAACCAATTATGGGACATCCAATGATTTATGTATAGTACCATTTATGTTGGAGGTCATAGAGAGGCAGTATAAAAATTGAGATTGATTCTAATAAATTAATAATTAAACAACCAGTTTCAGAGAAGACAATTTTTTTTTTTTTTTTTTTCCTGAATTAAGAGAAGACAATTTTGGAAAACAAAAAGTAATTGAAGCCAGTTATTTTTAATTAACATAAAATTAGTATTTTTAATAAGAAAATCAAGCAAAAGAAAAGGAGTAAAAGAAAAGGCCAGTTATAAAAGGGTCTCTTGAATTTTGCTTCTGAAGAGACGTGGCAGTAAAAGAAAAGGCTAAGGGAAGTTATGTAACTTATGTCTCTACGTGGCAGCAAAAGAAAAGGAGGAGGAAAAGGTTGAAGTTGAAAAAAGAGAGAGAAAAGAAGATTATTCTGCCGAGAAAAGAAGAGAGAGAAGAAGAAGAAGAAGAAGAAGAAGAAGAAGAAGAAAAGAGAAAAAGAGAGAGAAAAAAAGAGAGAGAAGAAGAAGAAGAAGAAGAATAAGAGAGAAAAAGAGAGAAAAAAAAAAAGAGAGAGAGAAAAAAAGAGAGAGAGAAGAAGAAGAAGAAGAAGAAGAAGAAGAAGAAGAGAAAAAGAGAGAGAGAAGAAGAAGAAGAAGAAGAAGAAGAAGAAGAGAAAAAGAGAGAGAGAAGAAGATCTGAAGAAGAAGAAGAAGGAGAGAAGAAGGAGAAGGACTTACCTGGAAATCGCAAGCTTCCTCTGTCGGCAGAATCGCAAACTTGCAGAATTTTTCTTCAAAGTTTCTCAGCCCCTCTTCGATTCACTTTTACAGTTTCCTTTTTGCTTTTACACTTTCCTTTTTGCTTTTGCTTTTATTCTATTCTTTTTCTTTTTGTAAAGTTGTCAAAACAGTAATAATAACCAAATAATAAGTAATAAACAAATAGCAAATAGTAACAAATAGAAGGAGGCGCGCCTTTTCTACGCCTGGGGCCTCTCGCCTCTTACGTAAAGGCGCACGCCTTGTTTAGCCCAGACGCCTTAAGTCACTCAAGGCGACAAGATGGCGCCTGGAGGCGCCTTGCGCCTCAGGCGTGCGCCTACGGCGCCTTTAACAACCATGCTTGGAGGGTGGCACCCTTGTGCCTTTGGTGGTGTCTTTGGAAAGAACATAGTAGGAGATCCTTCGACGTCAAGGAGACTCCTATAGGGGTGTTGAGTTTGTCTTTCCTCAATTCTCATTTTTGTTGGGTTGCTGGGAGGAATTGTAAATGTATGGGGGAGATAGTTGATTTTTTGGACATTCAGAGAGCTTAGGGGCCTTTTCAGGCTCTTTTTTTTTTGGTTGGGGGGGGGGGGGGAGGCTTCTAATACAATCTTACTTATAAAAAATAAAAATAAAAACTAATTGTGATCCTCATCCAACAACAAAGATTGATTTATAATTGTGATCCCTCATCCAATAGCAAAGACTGATTTCTATTCCAGATTAGTTATCTTCTTCTGAAATAAACAGAACCCAAGTTTTACTAGATGTCCTACTGAAGTAACAATTTACAGCAAATTAAGTTCTGATTCCATCACTGTTTCACTTTGGTTTAATACCTCTACAGTAATACTATAAAATGGAAAGTTTATGTCTAACAATATTCATTCTTTACATCAAAGACTTGAGTACTTATGAAATATTTCCGTTTTGTTTCTTCTTTTCCTAATATTTTTCTATGGTATCCAGATTTTGCTTCTAGCAGTCATCTGTTCTTAAGCATCACTACAGTTTTGTTGGCGTATTTTTAACCTCACGTGCTTCGGTCTTTTTGGATGTTTTGTATCCAAGCTTCTTCATCTGCCACATCTTTCCTATTTTGAGATTGTTTAATGTGATCAATCACTTTTCCTTCCTGCTTCGAGAGACTATTTCAAAACACATCCAAAAACAGATTTATAAGAGCATATAGGTACATAGCATGCATATTTATTTTTTCATCATCTCACATCTTGCATTCGATAGTGATTTATTATTCAGGAGTTTCGAATTTTGATTTCATATACTAATTTTATATATAAGACAAGATTTTCTTACTATTGTTATATTTTCCGCTGGTATTGGAAACGTGTCATCAGGTTATAAAGCATAGTTTCTAAATCATAAAGCAACGAAAAGAAAAAGACAATTACAAAGAACATAAATGGTAGGCAAGACAAAACTTTGGTGTTCTAGTGTGAAAAGAACATGGAGAAGGCAATCACAGCAATTTTGATGACATTTATGTACAGTTTTCTTGTGCACTTGCATAAAGTTTGCATATTGACAGATCCAATATCGGACAGGTCATGATGAATACAGCACATCAACTAAGACTAAATGCTTACCCCTTCATATTCACTCCAAGGAGGTTTCCCTTCCAGCATTTCAATAATTGTACAACCCAAACTCCAAATATCAACAGCTAGAGCAAGATCAGAATTAGCATCTTTCTGTGTCGCAGGCTGCAAGAGCTGCGGGATAAAAAATGATGTCAGTACAGGAAGGCAGGGAGATGATTTCATAAAAATTTGGTGTCACAGCAAGAATGAACCTCAGGAGCCATCCAGTATGGACTTCCTTTTAAAGACAGATAAGCTGTTTGTCCGCTAAGCTGCATAGAAAGCCAGATTTTTTTTTCCAAACAAAAAAAATTAAATTATGACAGACTAAGAATCAATACATGACAAAATATGAATCAATACAACGATATGATGGCAACGATAAACCACAATAATGATCAAAATAAATAAATTCAAAAACCATGAAACAAAGTTGATCATGACTAATTATATGCTACTTATCAGTTTGTTTGCAAATTGCTGATGAGGTGTTAACACAATTTCCCTCAATTCAGGCTCACTCATCCACTTTATATTTAACAACTAAGAAGCACAGACACTTCTATGAGGTGACGTGTCCGTGTCCGACATCAACACTCCATGGACACGCCTAGACACATAAGAACATACATCAAAGTGTTAAACCTCTAAGGAATAAAAACGTAACTATAATGACATGATCGGATAGTTATATCATATATAACATAACATATTCCTTTTTATATTCAAATAGCGTCTTCTTTTTTTTTTTTTGATAAGATTTTTATAAAAGGCAACCAAAATCGACACTATAGCTTTAAGCTATCCAAAAAATCCAAAAGACAATCCATTGAATTACAATACCGCCCATTTACCCAAAAGAATAAAGAAGTAAGAATAAGGAGAAAATAAGAGCAAACAATAGTTGCTGCAATTCTATTAAGAATAATACTGATCACCCCTCTCCAATACCATAGCCACCCTTTATACAATGTCTCCTACCAATCCTAGTTGTAATTGGCTTTAGTACAATAAAGGAAAGTAATTAAAAAATCAAAAAAAATATATAAATCAGTGAAGTTTCCGAAAAACACTACATGGAAAGTTTCCAAAAATCAGAACATTGAAAGCTTCCAAATCAGAATGTGGGTAGTTTTCAAAAATCAAAAGGTTAAATGCAGAAAATTAGGGATTCTGTTGGGCCTTCTTTGCATTCCTAGCCCTCTTTGGGTGCTCCCATGTCCCAACGGTTCATAGGGGTGAATCTATAGCTGCCGCTGACTGTGACCCAAAAAAGAAAATCTGGAAAAACAATTTGCAGATCAGATCCCTCAAAACCAACCCAAGGCATGTGGGTGCTTCTGATCTGATAGAATACTCGAAATAATTTAAATCCTTGCTAGACTATGATAAGATAATTTGACTAGGTGTTTGTTTGATGCATCTAAATGGTAATAGTGCACTAAACTCAGTGATAAAGTAGTGTAATGTAGATCTGCAGAAGTACAGGGATACATAGGAGAGAGTTTGTAGACAGAGAAACAGAGGAAAGAGATTACATATATCATGCTTAGAGATAGACAGACTAACCCAGGTTACCCAGTCCTTTAAAGAGAGAGACCCATTATGAGAGAAAAAAATCAATCCAATTCATAGTAATGGAGTGGCAGATTGGTCCATGTAATTCCTATGACTGTGATGTCCTTTGATTGATAAGGTTAATTTTGTAAATGTGTTGCACATAAGGGTAGTTTAGACATTTATATTATCTACTTGACTTGACTTTAACAGGCCTGACGGTCAACTCACAACAGGGGTGGTCAGGGTTAAGTCAACCATACGGAGGTTGACCATGGTATTTTAGAAACTTTAATTCGTGGATAATAAAAGAAAACCTCAGGGTTAGTAAGGATAATTTACCCTATAAATAAAGAAATAGGAAAGCAAAAAGAATCAAATCCAAAGTCAGTATGCTTGACAACCGTGCATATAAATCCCTGATCTTTATTTATAAGGCACACCATAGAAGATACCACAATTCTGTTGAATTTATATGCATGGCTTATGTATGGTATTCTATATCAGATGTATGGTTTTTTAAGAATGTTTTTGCTTGTCTGGATGTTAAAAAAAGTTCGGAACTCACATGTTTAGCCATCCCAAAGTCAGCAAGCTTGACGACCCCAAATGCATCAACAAGCAAATTAGCCCCTTTAATGTCCCTATAAAAAGTATCACATTGTTAAACTTGCCAAGCCAGAACTGATACTCCCATACTCCAGATAGAATATGGAAAATAATATAATACGGAGTACAAAATATCCAAACAGAAGCAACATAGATGTGTAGGCCTTTCACCAATAGAATCTGTCCATCTGCAGTTAAATATGAAAGAAATTTAACATGCTTCAATGTTATATCCTAATTTGTTACTCTAAGGATACTCTATGAGAGATTTGAGTTAAACTTATTCGAGTAAAATTAATTCCATCACATGATCAAAGATGTGTAGTTACCTGTGTATTGTCTTTGTGCTATGTAAGTAGGCCAACCCGGAGAGAATATGACGAGTAAAATTGCGTACAACACTTTCTGTTATTGCTCCACAATGGTCACGGATGTATTTATTAATAGGACCAGGATGAACATACTCTAGATATATGTGAAATTTGTTCTTAACCTGCATGTACATAAACCAAGGGTGTCTAGAAGAACATTGGGGTATAAATATAGGAACCATAATATGCAACAGGGAAATTACTCACAATTTCACTGCCGTAATACTGCACAATATTTGGATGCTTTAGCTGACTGAGGAGTTTAATTTCCTGCCAAGTTGGAAAAAAGTAATAGCTACAGCAAATTAATAATAGTTAAACCAAAAAAAAAAAAATCTGAATTAGAGTAGATAAATACAAGTAAATCCAGCTGAGAAATCCATGTAACCCAAATTCATGTATATTCTCAATGAACTAATGCCAAACTACTTTATTATGAGTTCTGTTGTACAGTATTGTATAAGTTGTCATACATGTACAGTTAGACTACATTGTAAGTAGCCACCTTCACCTACCCCACATTACCATATATAGCATTACCATGCATAAGGTTTACTTGTCTTCCATCTCCTATATAAACATCATTGTATTATTGTATTATTCACTCAATAAAATATATGCTTTCATATATTCTCTCTCTCTCTCTCTCCATGGTATCAAAGCAAAAATTGATTCCTCTATAAATAAAAAAAAATTCAATCTTATTCAGACTCCGATCTCGACTCCATCTCGGCTTTCTCTTAGCAATCTCTTCTCGATGATCTCAGTTCTCATCTAGGCAACCTCTCTCGGATCCCTCCTCGACAATTTCTCTCAGGTTCATCTTGGCTTGATTTTGGTTCTCTCATCTTGGCTCCCTCTCCCTACTATATCTCATTTGTTCGGCCGCCCTCATTATGGATACCAAGGACTCATCTTCTTGGGTCACTCAGCAGCACCAAATTGAAAGGCTCAAACTACCTTCGATGGTCGCAAGACGTATAGGTGTTCTTACGGGCTTGAGGAAAACTATCATATCTTCAATCAACCAAACCCACCACTGATGAAAACATTATGGAGATTTGGGAGAAAGAAGATGCTAAGATTATGACTTGGTTATGGAATAGCTTGGAACCTGAGATCTTCAACAACGTGTCATTCCTAGAATCTGCCAAAAATATCTGGGAAAATCTCAAGGACGTGTATTCTTCAGATAAGAATATTTCTCGTATTTATCAGTTGTACCAGGACATTTTTAATCTCTAGGAGATCGTTCTGTTGAAGATTATTACTTAGAACTAAAGGATATGTGGGAAGAATTGAAATGTCTGCCAACCATTGACTAGAGACATAGAAAAACATAAAGGGCACAGTGAGGAATTTCGGGTGGCGAAATTTTTATTTGAACTTAAACCAGAAATTGCTCCGATCAATTCGTAGATTTTGTCTGGCAAGGAGATGCCTACAGCTAGTGAGACTTTTGCTTGAGTTTGGAGAGCATTTATTCATGCCCTTGTGATTAAACCAATCTACTCTTATTGTTCCAGTTGAGTAACATGATACTTTCCGTGGAGGACGAGGGACAGAGGTCCTACCAACCCAGGCCGTGATACTCGTGGCGGCAAAGCGGGTCGCGGCAGCAAGGAGTATACTAATTGTGGCTGAAACAATCACTCTGTTGACTTCTGTTGTCTTCATGGCAAGCCAGCTTGGGCTAATCAGGCTTTAGTTCAAGAGGAGACTACTCCCAGTCCAACGAATGAACAAGTAGTTATCTCCAAAGCCGAGTATGATTCTCTGGTAAAGTGTGAGCACGCAAATCAGCCCTCCTCTTCCACCTCTACTATTGTTACTTCAGGTAATACCTGTGTCTGTGCTTCATATTTATGCACCTTGGATCATTGATTCAGGGGCATCTGATCACATGACAACATCTCTTATTTTCGATATTTCTCATGTTTTCTCATCATCAGTTGTTACTATAGCGAATGGAGCCAATTCACCTGTTAATAGAATTGGTACCTTCCACACGCAGTTTTATACATCCCTCAATTTTCATTCAATTTATTGTCAGTTCGCAAAATCATATCAGATTTAAATTGCTTAATTATTTTTTCTTCTTCCCGTTGTGTCTTTCAAGATCTTAAGACGAAAAAGACGATTGGTGGGAGGTTTGAGAAGGATGGTCTTTACTACTTCCAGCCAACTCCTGCTCCGACAGCTCTACATACCACTTCCTCATCAACTTATCAGTGGCATTGCCGCCTTGGACATCCCTCTTCAAATAGTGTTCGAGTCATGGTCCCTTCTTTAGTTGATTTTTCTAAGTTTAATAGTACTACTTGCGAACCCAATAAACATCGTCGGGCTATTTTTACTTCTCGTTTTGATAATAAAAGTATTAAACCTTTTGAGTTAGTACGTTCGGATGTTTGGGGACAAGCTCGTACTACTGGTTTATTTGGTACTCGTTATTTTGTGTCATTTATTGATGATTGTTCACATTTAACTTGGGTTTATATTCTTAAAAATATAGCTCAAGAGTTATATGTTTTTCAATCCTTTTATGCTGAAATTCAAACTTAGTTTGATGCAAAATTACTTATTCTTAAAACAGACAATGCCCTTGAATATTAAGTTAATAATTTTTAAAAGTTACCTGAGTTGAGGGGCATTATCCATCAAACATCTCGTGTTGATACCCCTCAACAAAATGGAATTGTTGAACGAAAGAATGGACCACTCCTAGCTATTGCTCGTGCCTTAATAATTCAAATGCATGTTCCAAAACATTTTTGGGCGGATGCAGTTTTGGTTGCTGATTATCTTTTAAACCGCATGCCTTCTGGGATCCTTCAAGGAAAATAACCCTTACAAATGATGTTTCCTAATAAAGATCCTTTTTCCATCCCTCCGAAGGTGTTTGGGTGTGTCTGCTTTGTTCATAATATAAGCCTAGGACAAGACAAACTTGATCCTCGTGCCCATAAATGTAATTTATTAGGTTATTCTCGCACTCAAAAGGGATATAAATGTTATAGTCCAACTCTTCGTAAACAATTTGTGTGTGCAAACGTAACTTTCTTTGATGATGTTCCTTATTATTTCCAGGAAGGCAATCGTTTGGAGGACTCTGTTCTTAAAAGAGTATGCTCTTCCAACTCCAGTTTTTTATTCTGACATCCCACTAGCTCTTCATGTCCATGCTTGTTGCCGGAAAAGAGTAGTTAATTATGTTCTAAAAACTGAAATAGTAAACCCAGCCTTGCCACTTCCACCAGTCACTTCAACGCCTGGAGATTCTTCCATCTCTTTAGACTCTAATCTTGATCAACCTATCGTCGTTCAGAAAGGTAAAAGCTCTTGTACCAATCACCCTATCTCTAATTTTGTATCATATAATAATTTGTCCTCCTTTCAAGATTTTTCTTTGTCGGTATCCTCTATTGCTCTTCCTAAGTCCTACAGAGAAGCACTTTCTCATCCAGGGTAGAGGAAAGCTATGGAAGAAGAAATACATGCTTTAAAATTGAATCATACTTGGGACCTTGTTCCTAAGCCTGCTGATACTCAGGTTGTTGGTTGTCATTAGGTTTTCATTGTTAAACAGAAGCCCAATGGTATTGTTCACCATCTCAAAGCTCGACTTGTTGCTAAAGGCTACACTCAGACTCATGGCCTTGACTCTTTCCTCAACTTTGTCCGTGAGTCGTAGACGTAGGCTCAATACTTTGGCCGAGGTCAAAGTCCATTTCTTTTCTTCTATTTTGTCATCTTGACAGGTTACCCATCAGAACAAAGAGGTTCCTTACAATGGGGAAACTCTTAACCTCTATACCTCCCCTACTTGAGAATCTACTAAGACGTTCTCTCTTATGGCCAAACTGAACTCTGTTCGTATGATTATCTCTTGCAACTAATCTAGAATGGCCACTTCATCAACTTGATTTTAAAAATGCCTTTCTGAACGGTGACCTTACGTGTGTGTGTCATCTTAAGAAGTCTATCTATGGCCTCAAACAGTTCCCTCATGCATGGTTTGATAATTTTAGTAAAGCAATGGTAGCTCATGGTATGACCAGTAGGCTAATCACTCTTTTTTTTTTTTTTTTTTTTAAGAAAACGAAACGTGGTATTATGATTCTTGTGATGTATGTAGACGATATCGTTATCACCGGCAGTGACAAAGATGGAATACAAGTTTTAATCCATCAAGTGAGTTCTACCTTCCTTACTAAGGATTTGGGCAAAGTTCAGTATTTTCTAAGAATTTAGGTGGCTCGGTCGAAGCAAGGCATTAGTCTCTCTCAGCGGAAGTATACTTTTGATCTCTTACAGGATTATCCTGGATATCTTGATTCGAAACCTGTAGCTACAGCCATGGAGACTAATGTATAACAAAAGGTGGATGATGGTGACCCACTCGATGATCCAAAGATATATCGGAGACTTGTAGGTAAACTTATTTACCTCACAATCACTCGTCCAGACATCTCCTATGCAGTTAGTGTTATAAGTTAGTTCATGATCGGTCCTCGAGTACCCCACATGGAGGTAGTTTTACGCATCTTAAAGTATCTCAAGGGTGATCCGGGACGTGGTCTGCTTTATCGATCTTCTGGACATCTTCGGATTGAGGGATACACAGATGTAGATTGGGCCGGTTCTCCTTCTGATCGACGGTCCACCACGGGTTATTGCACCTTCATAGGAGGAAATCTAGTAACTTGGAGGAGTAAGAAACAGTCAATTGTGGCTCGTTCCAGTGCTGAAGCAGAGTATCGTGCCTTGCCACACACTGCCTGTGAACTTACTTGGTTAAAGACTCTTTTACAGGAACTTGGGATTTCAATCCAGTACCCAATTCCTCTCCATTGTGACAATCAGACAACTATTCATATTGCTAGCAATCCAATCTACCATGAGAGGACTAAACACATTGAAGTAGATTGCCATTTCATCCGATCTAAAGTTGACTCGAATAAGATTGTTACACCTTTTGTTCCTTCTGGCAAATAGCTGTCAGACATCCTCACTAAGGCACTTCCAAATAACTCCATTGATTCTATATGTAACAAACTGGGAGTTATTGACATTTACTCTCCAGCTTGAAGAGTGTTTTTTTTTTCCTAGTTGGGACTCACACACACTGCCTCCACTGAAGTTCGAACCCCTGACCTCCCTTTGAAAAGTAGGAGCCTTGTACCGTGTATAGTTACACGTGTATAGTTACACGTGTATAGTTAGATTACATTGTATATTAGGGTTTACTAGTATTTTATATATTCTGTAACCGCCTTCACCTACCCTACATTACCATATATAGCATTACCATGTATAGGGATTACTTGTTCTATTGTATTTTATATATTCTGTAACCGCCTTCTCCTATATAAACACCATTGTATTATTGTATTATTCCCTCAATAAGATATACGTTTTCATATATTCTCTCTCTCTCAACAAGTTCCATATAACAAAAAATTATTCAACCAAATAACTCATATGCATCAAAGAATTCAAAGTCAATAGAATAATAAAGCCACGAACTACTATTTAGAAAAAATCCAATTTATATAAGGATCCATGAAAGTTCCAGTTGTCGTGGCTTAAACAGCAAGATTCTTTATAGTCTGGTCAAGAGTGTGGGGAAACACAACTAACAATTAAGGGTCACATTTAGAAGAAATCACTTGGAATTGATGGAGTGATAAAACACTGCAAGGAGACCTTTTTCTGTTACAAGAATATCTCTAGTTTGTCAATTTTAATTTAGACTAAGCTATTGTCCGTACTTATTCAAAACAAAATCTAGTGAAAGAAGCAATTGGTATAGCACAAATTATACTTCAAGAAAAAGAGAAGTTTGAGAAACAATTTTGCAATCCACCGATTCAAGCATTCATCATCTTGCAATCCAAATATTCAAGCATTCAAAAAGAGGGGACCAGGAGCAGATTCGTAGCTCAGAATGTGAAAAACTCTTCAGCAGATTATGAGCAAATTCTGGTCTAAAATAGATGACTAGAGCTGAAATTTCAAAGAAAAATAATAACCGACACTAGCTTTATTATTATTATTATTATTATTTTATTATTATTATTTTTGGTGGCATGCCACTGACTCTTGCTCAAAAAGTGATTTCCACCACTACAGATTTTCTCCAGTATGGTAATTACCCAACACAGACATACTGAAATTTGAAAACAAACACATACTAATAGCATTTGGTTGGTGGTAAAAAAAATTTAGAAAAGAAAAAAGAACACTTCATATTTGTTATTTTAAGGCAATGTTTTGAGTACTAATGAACATAAGCACAGACCTATCTTGAGTACAAATGTCATTTCCTGAGTTGATTTATAACTTACTCAACTTAGAAAATAAATCAGGCATTAAATTCCTCTCTCAAATCAATTAAATTAAAGTGACCACAATTTCACATGATCCAGGTCCAAAAACCGTGCTAATTAGTAAATTTAGAGTAAATTACATTGACCTCCATGAGGTTTAGCAGAGTTACACAGAAATTACAGTGACATCCCCTAAATACGAAACTTCATAACAATTACCTCCCAGGCTCCCTCTATAAACTATTAGCGTTGTTCAAAAACAGAAATATGATGTCATGAGATGAAAATGTTTAAATTCCAATATTACTTTCATTTAACACAACATATTTACTAAACAAATATTATATTATCTGAGGGAATATTAGTAATATCATAGCTGCCATAAACTCCATTAAAGGGACATCAATAATGGGAGATATTTCCAAACCTCAAGAGAGTCCAATGTAATTTACCTGTAACTTCCTTATGCATACATGGTGTGTGTAACTTTAGTAAGATTATATGTTCACTAAAATACTTTCATAAAAATCAGAGTTAAAATCATAAACCCCCCCTCTACTTTCAAATCGTGCATAAAACCCCCAGTAAAATAATAAATTAAAAAACCCTAAACTAACAAAACTTTTCAAGTTGCCCCCAAACCTGTGACCAACCCATTAAATGAGTTGTGAAATTTCAAATTTGACCCTTGCTATTTAATATTAAATTAAAGTTATAAATATTATTTTAAAATTAAAAGATGCCCCTTTATAATAATATTATTTAATGTTTGATGCATTGTTATCTTACTAGTGATCGATGACCCATTTCTCACCCCCAGTATTATTTTTGTAATTTTAATAAATAGGAAGGTCTCTATTATTTCTACTCTTTTTTGTTGGGTTTCAGGGAGAGATTATAGATCTACGGAGGAAATTATTGTTTTTTTGGCCTCTTTGAAGGTCTAAGGTGGCCTTTGGCCCTTTTGTTTCTTTGGGTTCCGCTCCCCTTTTGAGCTTTTTTAATATATTCTTACTTATCAAAAAAAAAAAAAAAAATAGGAAGGTCAAATTTGACATTTCACAACCCATTTAATGGGTTGATCATGGGCTTTGGGGTAACTTGATAAGTTTTGTTAGTTCAGAGGTTTTTTTTTAATTCTACTGGAGGTTTTATGTATGATTTGTTTTTTGATTTTAACCCTAAAAATCAAGAAAAATGGTTGACCATGTTAGAGAATGTAATATAGATATATACTTATATTAAAAAAAAAAAGAATGTAATATAGATGCATATAGTGTTACAAATATTGGTATACAACCTGCTGTAATTGCGTTATACACTCTGCAGATTTTGGGTCATCCTGCAATATCTCAACTTCTTTCATTGCACATAAGGCTCCAGTTTCCCTGTTGAAGAGAACAACATTATCACCAAGGGTTGTAGCCAAGTATCACCTCCTCAACCTCCCAAAGTGTGGGGTGAGGGTTCAAGTCCCCATAAGAAAGAACTAGCATAAGAAAGATATGGAACTTTAACACACCTGTTGGTGGCAACATAAACACTTCCAGATGTACCACGCCCAATAAGCTTTCCTTTTTTCCATTGACATTTCATCGGCATCAATTCTGGCTTAGCTGTAACTTGGGAAACAGTAGCAGGCTGGGAAGGAGAGGCAGCACCTGGAGGAAGAGGTAAGGGGTGGACATGGGCCTGAGCATTACTTTCACGTGGTGCTGTCGAGGACTCGAGGGATAACTTGTTATGCAATGGTGATGCAGGCCCAGTAGGAGTAGGACTTCTGGTGTTTCGGCAGGGACTTAGGCTTGGACTGTGGAGAGGTGAATTATCAACACTAAATGCAGTTATCTCAGGGTACATTTGATTAGGACACCCTAGACCCAGAATCATATCTAAAGGAGGCATCTCAGGTGCAGACCAGACTTGAATTACTTGAGGAGACATGTGATAATATGCAAAAATATCTCCGTTACTTATCTGTGGGCTGAGTGCAGGACTCGAAATGGGGCTAGTGGGATTACCAATAGGAACGGTAGAGCATGAACTGTCTTGATTCCTTCCCAAGCCATTCAGTTCTTGAGGAACCTTCCTAGATGACTGAGTTTCAGCACGCTCCATATTCTTTTGGGTGTCCTGGGAAACTAACCTACTGAAATTGGACAATATGCAAACATGGAGTAGAGTCAGCATAATGCAGGAAGTACAGGACATCTCAATGCAAAATCAATACATGAGGACCTAAGAAAAGCCCTGCACTAATGCACTTCAATAGTTAGCAATAAAATATGCAACCAAGTTTTCCATTGCTAGCTAACCAAATATTTCAAAGCATGATAAAGAACACACAGTTCAAATGAAGTGAACCCTTGTATCCTTAACGCCTAATGTACTGAAAATCTGGAGGATTAACATAGTGTTATGGATTGTTCATCCACTGTATCAATAAGCTTCTCAAGAAACTTAATTATATTTAATCTAATGTTCTTGGAGGCGCCATACCAGAGATATGATCCTTTGAAAAATAGCAAATAGCAAATAACAAATAAAAAAAAATACAAATAATAAAAAAATAAAAATCTGGATGTAGAGGCAGAATTATGGAAAATCATACAAATAATAATACAGTAATAAAAAGAAACAATAATTTGTTTTTCAAGAAACCAAGTCCAGTTGTATATGCTACAGATGTATGGATCTCCACACAGAAAGCAATTCAAATTTTTTGGCATAGAATGAGATGATGAAAAGTACTGCATCTCTCATATCTTCATCTGCTTCTTTGTTTGCGCGTGGTAATACAAATATTAACCAATACATTTGCACACAAAATATAAAAATTTAAAGCACTCTCAAAAAAAAAAAAAAAACAGATATATTGTCTGACAAATGAATAGATTAATGGAAACTAATAATAGGGTATGTTCATGTTCATTCCACGATGCTACATGAACATCCAAATACGACACACATAAAATCCGTATTGGAGTCAATTTTGAAACTCTTACCTCTCAGATGCAGAACTCGACGTGACTCCATCTCCGTTCCCCCTCCCGTTCCCGGTCAATCCATCAGCTCTTTCTCTCTCCTCTCCGCCTCTCGACGGCCCCTCCTTCCGCGACCGCAAAGGAACATTGCCCGCATTAGAATTCAAATGTGAATTTGAAGTTGAAGTTGAAGCCGAGGAGGCGTCACTGCGGAGCAACACGGCCAATTCCGGGAGGGGCAGAGGCTGCGGCTCCGCAGCCGACGGCGACCGACGCGAGGGAAAGTGGTCTCTAGCGCTGTGTGAGCGACAGAGACTAGAAGAAGGCTCGGCGGCAACGCCAATGTCGTCGTCCGTGAGCTGCCAGAGCTTCCTGGCCCGCGCGAGGCGGCGCCGGTACGAGGAGCGGAGACCACGGAGGCCCCTGACGACCCTGTGGTGGGGGCTATCGGTGGAGTGTCGTTTGGAGGACGATGACCGAGAGAAAGCGTTTTGTAGCCAATGCATTGGAGATTCGGCTGAGATGCATCTTACGGTGGCGATGAATCAAACGACAATGGTGGTGGTGGTGGGGGTGGTGGTGAAGAGATAATTTGATAGGGTCCGATTTAGGCCCTCAGAACCGTTTGATTGGAAGAATACGAGGCCATTGTTGTTGATGTTGATGATCATTCACATTCAGAAACAAACCCTAACAATGGAGGAGATCGGAGGGACTGGTTTCACTTTCTCTCTCCTCTGTAACGCTGTTTTACCCGAAACAGGGAGGGAGGTTGTCCCCGTCTTGAGGTCAAAAACTCACATCCCTTATAGCAGACCCCCCCTCTCTCTCCCCTCTTTCTCTCTCTATAAATTTATGTAATTTATAAGTAAACTGGATTTTTTTTTTTTTTTTTTTTTTTTTTTTTGAGTAAATTGTTATTATTATCTTTTATAATTTAATTATTCATTTATTTATTAGGGATGTGACTGATGTTCATCATATTCTTGGGTTTTGTCTCAAAAAGTTTCTCTATTTTAATGAATTTCCAAAAAGAAAAAAAGAAAAGAAAAAGGAGACTGACAAAAAAACAAACAAATAAATGTATGTGAGATTTATCTTGAATTGAATAGATTTTTAAATTATAACAATCAAATTATAATTCAATTTTTTTTTTATGATTTTATTTCTGATTATCTTAATCTGGATTTGAATTTTAATTATTATAAAATACTTATCCGATTGTTATGAAGAAAATTAATTCTAAATCAAATGGGATTTTCAAATTAACTGCATTCAAATTCAGTATAAAGTTTTTCTTATTTTATTTAACATTTTTATTTTTAATATTATCACGATATATATATATATAAATGTAAAATGTGCCTTTCATTTTGAAATTACAGACCAACTCAGTTTCGTTGAAGAAACAGCAGTGAATAACTAAAACTATAATTAAGTTAGTTTTGAAATTCCTTATTTGGATAAAAGATGAGGGCATTTGATAGCATAAATACCGTTAGAGGTTTGGATGAATTAATCCTCAAATAGATATATATATATATATATATATATATATATATATTTTAAATGATTACCAAAATTTAAAATCAAACCCAAGATTATGTAAAACAAAAATTAGACTCTATTATTTTGTTTTGTCCAATTGAACGTATTTTTGACAAATTTTTAGATTTTGTTTGGAACCAAATTCTTTCAGGCTCTATTTGGTTGGATGGAAACTTTAGAAAGTGAAAGTGAGAGTAAAAAAAAATAAAGTAAATAAAAATTAAATAAATTTTTTAGGAGTGAAATGCAAAAATTCTCCCTATAATTTCAAATGTGTGCAAATAACATCATTTATGTTCAAATCTCATTCCTGTAGTATGTAAAGTGAGCAAACAGGTTAAAATTAACTTATGGATGAAAAGATGAAAATACTTTTTGCCAGGTTAAAATTAACTCATGGATGAAAAGATGAAAATGTCCTATATTTTACTAATAAGAAATATAATAAAAAGTATCTAAAAGTTGAAATTATCTAAATAGGCATGCTAGAAACGAGGTAGTTTTTAATTATTCCTTCAACCCAAACAAGAATCATGTGGAACAAAAACATTGTTCGTAAACCGTACTCTCTCTCTCTCACTCTCTTCGTATTCATTAGGCTCTCACTCTCCAGAGACACCCGGGGGACCGGAGGGGGGATGATAAATTTTTGAATAAAGTACAATGACATCTCCAAATTTGATATAAAAATAATCATATATAAGTTGACTTATTTTTAGATAATGACACCCATTATCACATTTTTTGATCCAAACAAACCCTTAATACGTTGAAAAATACGAGATTGTCTATCACTATTTAATTCATTTTTATTGTAAATTATCATAATTGAAGTCATTTTTGCTCTTAAATCCTTGAGAAGATTCATTTTATGGATGTTGAGATTACAAGTAAAGAAGGAAATCAAGTGTCCCCAAAGGACCACACAAAAGTAATATATAAGGGGCAGAGCCAGGATTTAAATTCAGAGGGGGCACGGTGAAGGGAAAAAAAAAAAAAAAAATGGAAAAGAAAAATGATAGGACTTTGAAAGAAACTAATTAAGCATGAATGAATAAGGAAAATTTTGACTTTTTTTAAAAGGAAATTAAACAAATTTAAAGAGTAAATGAGGAAAAAAAGGAAAAATTTAAGAGAATTTTGAAAATTTAGGGGGGGAATAATATATAAATGTCTATATATATATATGTAGAAAAAATTATAAAAAATCATATATATAATGTAGGGTGGGGCTAAGCCAAAGGCATGTGCCCCACCTAGGCATATACTGGCTCCGCTACTATATACATATATACACACACAAAAACACTATAATAATATACACATTATTACTGCCATTTATTGTAGAGAGATTTGAAGCCGGTGGGTGGAGGACGTCAGCGACGGCAGTGGTTGTGGTGGTTAAAGGCATGGTGAGGGCATATATATATACTCGTATACTACGTATGGTTCAGATCAGCATCAAGGACCTTAGAAATGTTTGTTAATATAAAGTTCTCGAGATAAGTTCAATGTAGGTTGCAATTAAGGTTTTCAAAAAGGCTTACAACTACCGAAATGCTATAACAGTATATATATACTCAAGCTCACTATACAAGTCCTACTACAAGAAGGATATACACATGGCACATGTAACCAATCATTGGACAAAGAATGTTCTACCACAATGCCCTTGCCAACTCAGCTAATTTGTCCTCTAGTGTACCAGAAATTACAGCTCACTATATCAAGGTTGTAATAGCATTTTTATCCAAGACTTGGTGATTACTTACCGTAAAGTGGGTTTTTGGGGTATCAAAAGTGACCAAAACGACCACTTTGATACTAAAATGATTTTTGGTTCCGAAAAGGGCAAAAATGACCACTTACTTAAAAGTGAGTTTTTGATATAACGACCTGAAACCGGGAGTTCGAATCGCTAACCGGGTCCTTACCTGAACCCGAGGACACTTAAGGGAAAAATGGTCATTATTCACCTTACTACACATGTGAGGGTTCGTCATCAACCACGTCTGCATCGTAACTTGAAAAATGTTAATAGAAGGGGTGAGCATGGAGGCTCAGTAAGAAATGCCTAAAGCACCAACTTTGGATTCCCTTGAGCTACACAAAACACATTAGGGTTAAAAAAGAACCGGGATCATACATTGGGGGTTCTATCACATTTACATCACAATATCAATCTCATCAACGACATTTATACAACATATCATAAATGTGCATGAAATTACTATGCAATGCACAACCGTCCCCAAACTTAGTCTCTATTGACCCTAACTCACACTGAAAACCGCTAACCTACTTTACTGAGGCGAGATTGATTAACTATCCCTGATTTCAAATCTGGCAACCATTTGGAGCTTAGTAATCAAATTAACACCAAACTTATGAAATCCGGGTTACTTTATAAAATCCATTTCATGCCTTTTCTCAATATCGTTTCCCGCCATGCCATGCACCTAAATCAAATTCATCAATTTAACTTCCTTTCCATTCATGTGACAACAAAGGGATAAACATGGCATTCTCTTGAAACAAGCATAGCATTTTCGTAAACCAACTACAAGCATGGCATTCTTCATAAAATAAACACAAGCATGGCCTTCTATAGAAATTAACTACAAGCATTCTCATCATAGAATTTTCATCATCACAATCATGCTAGCACTTTGGCACAATTAATAAATTCTTCAACTAGTCAATTGTAATTAATTCATTAACATAGAAAGGGAATACATTTATACATCACATACTAGCATGCTTTCTTCACTTTATCATACCAGTATAATTTTATTCACAATATCACTTTCAACAATGAAATTAAGAGAATCATGGTATGAATACTCAATAAAAGACAAAGTTTGAAGCATTAGGAAACCCCTACCTCAATGTGTACAAGCCAAACAATCCCTTAGGAAAATCTTAATTTCGAATTCCTCTAAACCCTAGCAATGGTGGTCTCAAAATGTAGTCCTTGACAAGTAGAACAAAACTCTCTTCTTGGTCTTCATCAAAATCTTACCCTAACCCTTTCAAATTTAAGCTTGAAATGTATAAGACATACGTATGTTTATAGATATAGAGAGAGAATGAGAAGAGTTAGAGAGAGAGAGAGAGAGAGGAAAATGCCAAAAATGGGGAAGGGGGGGGGGGGGGGGTTCTTGGCTTGTCTTCTAACCACTTGTGTGGTCCATCTTGTGCCACTTGTCAACTTTTTGTGGAATATAACTTTTTGCAAAGTTACCAACATGCCCTCATTCATCCATTACAAAGCCATCCTTGTCCCACAAAATATCTTCCCAATGTATAGATATATGAATATGTATATATATGTGTGAAATGCCACTAACGCCCCTCACTTAAATGAGAAAATCAGGAAAAGTTCCCTAGCCTGAAAGTTGTCCTGACTTCAAAAAATTCTAAAAATGATCCCATCAATACTTATTGGCTCCAAATAAATAAAAAATGCATTTCTAAAACTTTCAGCTCAAGAAAAGAACTTAACGGTCCTCGGGCCTGTGTAGCACGCAAAACGATGCATAAAAAATAAATAGATAAAAATAATAAAAATTCAAAAAAGTCCGGGACATTACAATTTACCATCCTTAAAGAGATTTTGTCTTCAAAATTTACTCTTCTTAAGAAGAAGGCCCACTACTACTCAATTTCTTGAAAGACATCACATAAGCCTGCAAGACTACGAGCTCACGATCCTTATTGCCTTTGACACCGGATGTTAATAGGCAATCACCCACCACCGTCACTAGTAGCATAATGTTCACCACCTTATATGGGTACTCATCACACAAAATCCTACCACGTAAATCATTGGATTCTATACTTGGCTTAAAAATGGCACTTGGTCGACGGTCTGCCACACCACCGTCAAGTTTGGAGAGTGTGCATTAAGGCGAGGGCCAAGAGTTTTACATTTATAAAAGCCACTACTACCTTTCACTATAAATATAGCTAGGGCGAGTAGGGATCGTCCCAAGGGATTGTGAGGGTCGAACAAGGTTGTGAAATTGCTATTAGGGCTAGTAGGTCGAGTGATTAAACAATTGGTTGGTTGGTTGATTAGACTAGAGAGCAACTAAATTAAACTAAGTGATAACAAAAGAATGCAATTAAGAGTAAATAAGAGAGAGAAGAGTCTTAGGGTTTAGAGATCACCACCAAGCAATGTATTTCTATACCATTGACAAGTGACTAATGAGGGCAAATAGTGTGTTGCAATATTGGTGTGTGTGTGTTTAGTTGATTCAACAAGCAAGGATGACTAG